ACAATCATGGATAAAGCAAACCGCCGAGTCTTGGTCAACCATATTAGTCCTCGTGGCCACGGTTGTCTACACCATCCCGGTTAGGAGATAGGGTGGCACGCTAGGTTCCTTAGATCGCTGGTGTTCATCTTCTTCCCCGTCATGGACATTGTGGCCCTCGCCTTTTCTCTGGCTTTCGTTATCATAAATTTTTAAGACGTGACATTAAAATTTAGTTGTTCAACCAGGGTCAAATTGAAGATCAAATCAGAATCAAACTAGAATGATTAAAATAATATATGTTTATTATATAGTAAATAATAAATACCTCGTAGAAAATAATACGTACTTTGTTAATTTTTTTTGAGGAATTTACAATAAACAGACCTTACCTGCCTATTTGGAGCCTGACACATTATTATCCTCTTTGCACGTTAAAATAAAATAGGAACATGTGATCCTAATTTTGAATTTCTTTACAATATTTGAAGACTTTTAATTTTTTTTTGTTTTCCCGTAATCCTGTCAGACTTGCCTATACACCCATCATCTCATCGTTTAAAGTTTTCATCTTTCTTGCACACATTTTCAATTCATCTTCTTCTCTCTTCTTTCCTCATCTTCTTTCTTCATCTTCTTCCTTCTACTTGTTAAAAGGATATGCTAAGAATGCTTAGAATAGTAACACAGAGAACGTAGGGGACGATGAGGGATGAGAACGCTAGAGGTTGAAGATGAGAAGCTTGAAGAGAAGATGCGGAGAAGTCTTAAGAACTCTGAAACTGTGAAACGCGAGTAGAGAAGGACATTGGGCTGCTGGTGTTTTGTCTAAGTTTTTTTAATATATTTTGACTCCCAAACCAACGTTGTTTGGGGTGTCAGAAAATATAAAAAAAAAAATACAACCCCTCCAACCCATTTGACTTGTGGGGTAGGGGTACTATTTCTGAAATACTCAACTTAACTCGGGTCAATCCTTACCACTTTAAATCACAAAACTAGATTGGACAAACAGTTGAGTTGCTAGTTCACCAATTTGACTGGCCGATCCAGTTTGGTTTTGCAAATAATGAAGTTTTTGTTTATATCTCATGTTGGTCGCCCTTTGATTTTGGGCCGTGACAATCTACAAACTATAACCCATATTAAGTTCCTCACTCAAAGGATAAATCAATGTCTTATATCTTTCTCTCTCTATTGTGAATCCTGATTAATTTAAAGAAGAAAAAATAAAAGAAAGAAACATATTATATATTTTTGTAAAAGGAGATTCGCACTTAAAAACTTTTAAAGAGAATTATTTATAGATAAAAATTAATAATAAGTTACCATTTAAAAAAATAATTTTTTATTATCATTTTAACAATAAATAATTTTGTATTGGTCCTTGCCAGCAAATAATTCTTTTGGAAAGATTTGGATGTGACTCTCCCTTTTATGAATCAATGTTATATATCCTTTCCCCTCTCTCCGAACCTGATTGATTAAAAAAAAAAAGAAAAAACATACTATATACTTTTTACAACAAAAAAATGTTATATATTCTGATTTGTGTGTATATGTTATTATATATTGCGTAATGGGTCATGTTCTATTTTCCTTTATCTTTTTTTTTTTAGAGTGAAAGCGGCATCATTAATCTGAAAAATCGTACATCAAGAAAACATAAAGATTAAACTAGTTATGTTAGGAACTTAAAAGTAGAAAAAACTTTAAGAGTGTGGTTCACCAAGGTCCTAATATTCACAAGAAAGGAATCAACATTGTAAGTTTCGACTGCAAAATTTCTATGATTCCTTGCTTTCCATAATTTCCAGCATATGATGCTGGTTCCCACTTTTCAAGAGATGTCAAACCTTGCAGATCTGAGGAGATTGATTGACCAGAAATCTACATTCTCCTTGCAGAATTCAGTATACATATCGTGAGGTAGGACTTTCTTTCATACAAAAGCAGCGAAAGAGCAATCCTTGAAATCTTGGTTATTATCCTTTGTCTTTACTTTCCTGTGCCTTGTTTTTATTTGGTTTGGGTTTTTAGTTGTTCTTTGTTTTTGTAATTACTAGTTAGACTGTACTGCTGGCTCCCAAGTAGCGTTTTAAGGGTCCATTTACTTTTGTAATTGTTTTATAATTAATAAAATGACTTTTATTCAAAAAAGTATATATTATTATATATGAATTAAGCTGTTTTTTTTTCGGGTAATTAGTTCAGCTGATTTTAAATCAAATACTTAAGAAAATACTTGGCATCCAATATTGGGAATAATGAAGTCTACTTTCTTTTCAAGACACGATCGTTGTTAATTAGTCTGATGGATGTACACTAGAACCACGTGGTGAGTAAAGAATATAATATTGTTACTTTCTTTCTTTCTTTATTTTTTTTTTGATCAACAATATTGCTACTTTATTAAAGAATATAATACTGTGTCAAGGTTGATTGTCATGGCGTTGATATAATGATCCCCCCACATGTCGAGTATTCTTTTTTTTTTTTTACTTTTTTTGGCCTAACACATGTCAAGTGTTTGAATCATTGATATTGAAAAAGAATATAATATTGTTACTTGCAAAAATAAAAAGGATGATAAGTAAAGGCATTTAACTATGCCACGTGTGATACCATTATCTATAAAGCTATCTAATATTAGATAGCTAGTAGCATCTAACATTTTTTTTATTACTCATGTATATCTTATTACTATTTAAAGCAATTATATAATAATATATTTAGCTTTAGTAGAAGAGATTAGTCACTTATAATTTGACGAAACATAATTTGAATTATCGTTGAAAGAAATGTCCACATTTAATAAAAAGAATGATGAGTAAAGGCATCTAGCTATGTTCTAAGTGATATTATTATGACTAAAATGTATAAAATCTTTTTAAATTTTGAGACAGTTGAATATAACTCCTCTCACCTTTAAAAGTTTAAAATTAACTCCCTAATCTTTAATTTTATTTTTTAAAACCCTCTATTGTTAATTATATTATTTTTTCATGAGAGTTAAAATGTCATTCAACTAAAAAATATTATTAAATAAAATATTATATTGTACAATTATTTATAATAAATTTTTTATATTTTTTGGATAGTTGAGACATTGATAATAGCCAAAACAAATATTATTATCACCATATAAAATTTTAAATATTTACTTTTGTGCTATTTTTTTCTTTTTTATTATCAATGGTGAATAGTTTTCTAGTATTAAAAGATAAATCAATCTAACATAATAATATTTAAAATTTTAAATATTTTAGCTATGTGCATTACATTAATCTAGTATGAAAATATAAATATAAATTTATTTTTTAAACAATAAAATATGCACCATTGATAACAAAAAATATGAATAAAAATAATATGAACATAAATATTTAAAATTTTATACAGTGATAATAATATTTTTTTTGTTATCAATGCCTTAACTATTCAAAAAATATAAAAAATTTATTATAAATAGTTATACAATATAATATTATTATTTAATAATATTTTTTAAATGAATGACATTTTAACTCTCATGAAAAAAAATAATATAATTAACAATAGGAGGTTTTGAAAAATAAAATTAAAAATTGAGAGAGTTAATTTTAAATTTTTAAAAGTGATGAAATGATTTGCAATTGTCTTAAAGTTTAGAAAAATTTTATGCATTTTAACCTACTATTATCTATAAATCTATCTAATATCGGCTATATAGTAGTATCTATAACTTTTTTTTTATTACTCATATACATCATTTTATTAAAAACAACTGAATACTTTTTTTACTGATGATTTGAAGATTAATTCGTTAATTTGTAAGGGACTAACCCCTTCTATTAAATTCAAATTATCTATAAAGCTACCTAATATTAGATAGCTAGTAGCATCTAACATATTATTTTTTTTCTTAGTCATGTATATCTTCTTACTATTTAAAGCAATTATATACTAACATATTTGGCTTTAGTAGAAGGAATTAGTCACTTATAATTTGGCAACACATGAGAATTATTGTTGGAAGAGATGTCCACATTTAATAAAAAGAATGATGAGTAAATGCATCTAGCTATGTTCTAAGTGATACTATTATCTATAAATCTATTTAATATCAGCTATATTGTAGTATCTATAACATTTTTTTTATTACTCATATACATCCTTTTATTAAAAACAATTGTATACTAACGGGTTTAAATTTAATAGAAGGAGTTAGTTCCTTATAAATTGATGAATTAATCTTTAAATCATTGGTAAAAGAAGTATTTACATTTAGTGCTTGATTATATCCCGAATTAAATTGTTTCAAATAAAAAAAAAATACTTGCATGCAGGGGTGGATTTAAGACGGGTCAGCACTTACAAATGTTGACCTCCTCATAATCATTTAAGGGCTTTGCGAATTAGTTAAAAATATTTTGTAGCAAAATCTTTCCCTCAAACTGTAGAAGAAGAAAATTTGGCCCCCCATGCATAAAATAATCCTGAATACGTCAATGCAATAAAAAAAAAGCCATGTCATATTCACAATATGTTCTACAAAATATATGGAATGTAAATATTCGACCTTATTTTAAGAGAAATTGAGTCTTTTCACTCAATTCAATATCATTTGTATTATTATCTACATTACAACACAAATAATCACATAAAACTCATGAACCCAACTATGCATATAAACTTAAAAGTTACCATGATGTTATGATTAAATTTTAAAAAAGAATTATACACGATATATTGTTATAAATAACAGTAATTATTTTATACTGTAGGGATAGTACAAATGAATTAAATAACCCAGTTTTAAATTATGCTGCTTCTTAATTTAAGAAAAAATATTACCATTTTTCCAGTACAAATAACTATCCACACGAAGGCATTATTGCCTAAATAAGAAGGCCATTGAGAGTTATTGGCCAAAAGAAAGAAAGAAAGAAAGAAAGAAAGCATGTGAGAGACTCCTTCGCAGTGCATATATAGCGTTGATCAGCATCAGTAGCGGTAGCGGCGTGCGTGTGGAAGAGAGGAAATAAATGGGAAAGAAGAGTAGTGAGGCAGAGATTGGTGCATTCAGCGACACAATAAAGAAAACTCAAAAGGCTTACTTTGATGAAGATTGGGAAACCTTCAAGAAATAATTCAAGGATCATGACAAGAAAGATCATCTGCTCGAGAATTTTGACTTGCATGAGAACAACGCCATTGGCGTCGCATTTACGGTGAAAATCCCAAACTCTTGACGGAGTTGCTAGAAATGCTATCTCAAGAGGAAAAGTGGGTTGCCTTGACGAAACAGAACTGTCAAGGCAACACCCTTCTTCACAAAATCGAGTACCGAAAGAAACTGTCAATAGTGACGGAGATGGTGGACGTTGTGCTCGACTCCAAAGAGAAGACAGCGTCAGCTCCGCCGCCGGAGAGGCCGAAATTGCTGGAGATGAAAAACTCAAGAGGCAAAACGCCACTGTTCAGGGCTGCCAAGCCCGGCAACATGAAGGCGCTGAAGTATATGGCCAAACAAGCAGTGGGAGACATGGATATTCATCTTTATAGCGATAACGAGACTATTCTCCATGCTTGTATTAATGGGCAATATGTTGGTAAGTATATATCAGCACAAATCACAATAGAGAGCCTTATTATTGAGATATACTTGTCCTTTAGCACTGAGAGATGTTCAATTATATTGCATGTGTGTGCAGATGTAGCTCTTTGGATAATCGATAACATGGATTGTAGTAGTCTAATTCTGGAGAGTAATAAAAGTGACATCACGTGTCTTCAGCTTCTAGCTAGAATGCCTCCTGCCTTTCGGAGCCAATACCAAAAAATGGTATTCTTCACCAACCTCATCTATAAATGTAACCACCCCCACCCAAAAAAAAAAAAATCTTTATTTTCTTAATTTCTTCGCTAGCGTGACTTGGTTAATAATTCTCACAACTCCCTGTATGTGTGTGTAAAAAATGCAAATGGGGGATCTTAATTTTGGACATCGATGGACAGTGCTTCCTGATTTTAAACCCACACTCCCTCTAATCCAATATATAGGTAGTTTTTGAAAAAAAATTCACATACTAATAAAGTTCTTATTCCCATAAAAGTATATATTGTTTTTCCTTTTATACTTAGTTTCCATTACCAATGCACTTTATGATGAGTAACAGATATATTTACATAAATATCTAGATTATTAAATATAAGGGGTAAAATAAAGAATTTTTTTTACATGTACTAGGTTTTTTATATTTTGAACTAAGATTAGTTGAATAAAAATGCTTATATTTTCTTGTGATTATTGCATGCTCCTAATTTGATTCTCTTATTTTTGTTTTGTTATGACCACACCTTTTAATTTGAAGATGATATTCTTTTAGGCTAATTAAGGAGAGTCCGGAAAAAAATACGCTTCATTAAAAAAGTTTACATGTATGTTAATTAAGTGAAAGCAAAACGTTCTTATCAACAGGCCATCACGATTTTTATTCAAAATTAAAGCCATAAATAAATTAAGAAACTGATTAAATAATTAATATTTTTTTAAAAAAATTGACTAAATCTGGTGCACGTATTGGACTCATGAACATATGGGTCTTGGCTAGCCCATCAAACTTCATCTGTGAATGAACCTTGATGTTCTGTCAAAGAAAACTTTAAATGGAAAATTTTTGAGAGGCTAATACTGATTTAACATTCATCATGTTCATACTTGAATTCCAACAACCATGCATTTTCTTTTCAATTCCTTCCTTTTACTTTTGCTTTTTGGAAGCAACAAAGAACATATATCCCAGGTAATGCTTTTAGAATATTAGACGACATACAGTAAAAAAGCAAAAAGTAAAACATTAGAGGACAGTCACACTTCTATTATCAGACTATTTATATGCTCTACAATTAATTCTCAAACATATATCCAGCGTTAAAGTCCCAACATGGAATGGTTAATAGATAATTTTCATTTTTAGTGCTTTACAACTTAAATGAAATTATGTTCACTGGTTTTAGCAACATATTAGTGTTACTGTTATTTATACTTTAACACAGGTAACTATCACACAAAATTTAATGTTGAAATGCACCATAGCTAAAAGTTAGATTACTTATTCAAAAGAAACAAAATTCAATTAGACGATGACGTAATGATATTTAAAATAGAAATTAAATTAGAAAATATTAGCTTGGATACAGGAAAATAATTATACTGAATTTAACGTAAAAATATAGAAACAAATAACACAATTCAATGATTATTTTATTCATTTTTATTATTTTGCTGTTGTTAATTTCCAAGAAGATTATTAACTAAACGTTGAAGTATTTTGCTTTTAAAGTATATATATTTAATAGAGATAAAACTAAAATTTTATTGAATTTTTAGATATAGTTAATAAGATTTAAAATCTTCCTAAATTTTGATAAAATATGTTGGAAGTAAGTAATAAATAAGATGAGAGGAAGTGTAATGTTATTCAGTTTTGAAATGTGTTGATTCTGAATTTTACAATAATTTCTATTTCCAATTTCTTTTACATAAATAATTATTTTTTTAAAGGAAAAAAATACTGTCTAGTGAGAAAGCTTGCGAGACATCCCTCGCTGTCACTGTATATATAATTATATATAAACACCCACAAACACAGATTGAGCACAAGCGATAGTAGTGCGTGCGTGATAGGAAAATGGGAAAGAAGAGTACTTCTGAAATTAAGATAGAGGGAGAGACCTCTCTGTTCAGCGAGAGAATAAGAAGAGCTCAGGGAGCTTCCAGGTCTGGAAACTGGAGAGCCTTCAAGGAAATCTTCCAAGAAGACAAGAAAGATCTGCTTAAGGATTTAGACTTGTTCAAGAACACCGCCATTAACGTAGCAACTCGCTCCGATAGTCCACAGCTCTTGAAGGAGTTGCTGGAAATGCTTCCAGAACAAGAACGGTGGGTTGCCTTCACGAAGAAGTCTTGTGAAGGTAACACTCTCCTTCATGAAATCGTGCTGATTTGCAAGGTGGTGGAGATGGCAGACGTCGTACTTGACTTTGAAAAGAAGATGCCGTGGCCATTGCCGGAGGCGGCAGCTGAGGAGGAGGAGGAGGAAAAGGGAAGGCCATTGCTGGAGAGGAAAAACTCCAAAGGAGAAACGCCACTGTTCAGGGCAGCAAAATATGAGAACCTGAAGATGGTGATCCATTTGGCTAAAGCAGCAGCAGCTCAGCCTCAGAGTGATACGAAAATTCATCTTCGTAGCGATACTCGGACCATTCTTCATGCTAGCATCAATGTCCAATCTTTTGGTAACTATCTTTCTCTTTACAGCACTTGTTACTATTATACAAATCTGGTTGTATATATTACTTAATATATATATATATATATATATACACATACATATTCCTTCTGTTAAAAAATATGAGGCATTTTTAATCGAATTTCACTCTCTCAATAAAGTAGTTACCTACTTTTTAATTAATTTTATCTTTTCATATTTACTCCTATCAAACACCTTACAATAAATATAAAGTCATTATTAAGAGGGGCATTTTTGAAAAAAAAAGGCAATGATTACGTCTCAAAAGATAAAAAATAACTTACATTTTTTAACATTCAATTTCTCAAAAAATGCCTTACATTTTTAATGAAAGGAGTACTGATATATCTTGATTTGTTTATTATGTTGTGAAATGTTAGTTAATCAAGGCTTTTGGCTGTATCATTTTAATTTGAATAATATGGCTTCACTACTTATCACTTTCTACCAATTTTCTATAGATCCAACTAAAAAAAATCAATAGATTTTAAACTAATAAAGCAGCATTTTTTTTTCTCTTTCCGCACCGCGAGAGAGAGAGAGATACATATTGATCTGTGGATAATTTTTTTTAAAAAAAATTTCCAAGGTTGTTTGTTCTATATATGTATGTGTATATATTTGTATAATTTTATAAAAAATTATAGTTATATGAATAAAGTAAAAAAATTGTGCCTTTTCTATTTTTTAATTAATGGTGGTTCAGTGGTTCTTATATGTGTTAAAATGTCAAATAAAAACAGAATATAATTACTATTTTGGCACAAGCATAAGTGGGGATTAAAGTATTGCATTGGCTTGTTGATTAAGAGATTCCTTAGCTCACTTAGGAGAGAATCTTATTACTTGTCCCCACAGTGAGATCCTCGTAATGTAGATTCTATTCCTGGGCAAAAGTGTCGCGGATGTACTGAGAGTGAAAATGTGTACATATTTTAAACTCATAAATAAAGTCTTTGTGTATTATATTTACTCCTTTTTAAATTATAAGATATTTTTAAATAACATCTTATATATCAATAAATTTAATTAAATACACTTTAACAATTTTATTTTATAAAATAAAATATAAATTTTTAAAAATACTCTTTATTTAATAACCTTAAATCTACATTTAATTAGTATTAAATAATAAGAGAGAACAGGTAATATTAAAATAAGTTCATTTAATAAAATATTAGTCATTTGAAAGTGTCTTATATTTTAAAACGGTAAATCTCTCTCAAAAGTATCTTATAATTTGAGACGAAGGGAGTATAAAATACAAGAAATCAGCAATATGTGCACCACTAATGACTAGTTAATTTTTATTCTCTTTTTATAAGGGTTTTGATGCATTTTATATTACACGTAATGTGTAATGACGCGCACACGCAGATATATAATTGTACTCTGTGTATGTGTGTGTGTGTGTGTTGTGAATGCAAACGAGTGCAGATGGTAATTTGGATGAAAGATATGAAATTGAAGGTTATGATAGCTTTGAGTTGTTTAGGCCTCCGAGTACAGACCTAGAAACTAGCCACCAACATGATGACAAGCCGCCAACCTCAGGTACTAATATTTGATCATGAACTCAAATAATATTTGAGTTATATTTGAGAATATTTAACTGATATGCAGGTCTTTCAAGGATCAATTACGATGCTTGGAAATATCTAGCTAGAGGTACCAACATTTACATTGTTCAAAAATCCACACACACACGCTCACATTTGAATAAAAGTAATACAATTATCTGAACGCTTGACCAGCATGAACAAGCAGTATTCTTGGAGATTGATTCTATCTGGAAACGAAAGAAGCGTCATCAGCTAGCAGAGTGTCTGGCGAAGTTTCTAGTGAAGAATGACTACTCGTGGTAGGCATCTTACAATCGTATTAAGAAAACACTCGTCATATTGCCATCTGTCCTTTACAAAGTAGCCAAAAGAAAAAAACAAGCAGAATGGAAGGAAGAGAAGAGGCAAGAGAGAGAGGACGCTGATGATGACGACCAAGATCTTGACAAACAAGAAAAGAAACACCATTATGATAATCACACGCCATTACTTGTAGCTGCTATCAATGGGATTATAGAAATCGTCGAACTGTTCCTTGAAGAGCATCTAGAGTCAGTTAATCACGTTAGTGAAGATGAGCAAAACATACTGCACATGGCCGTCAAGCATCGTTAGCTAGAAATCTTCAAACTGCTCAAGAAAAACCCATCATTTGGCACATTGGTTACTCGAATCTCTCGAGAGAACCGCACTATATTGCACTAAGTTGTGACGATGGATTATTACAGAGTAGCGCACCTTGCTAGTTCAGCTTTCCAACTTCAAGATGAATTAAAGTGGTATAAAGTAAGCACTCAATTCTAGCAAACTCTTGTTCATCTATACTTGATATTATTCGCCAACCACCTAAAAATAATATTTTGTTGTTTGTATGTGTGATGTGCAGCGAGTGGAAAAAGTTGTTTCGACACATCAATACTTGCATTGTGACCATATGAGACTTACAGCGGGAAATCTGGACATCGAGCATGATCAGATACTTGCAGACGCACAATCATGGATAAAGTAAACCGTTGAGTCTTGCTCAACTGTATCGGTCCTTGTGGCCACGGTTGTCTTTGCTGCGGCCTACACCATTCCTGGCTAGAGCGAGGGTGGCACATCAGTGTTACTCAGATCGTTGGTGTTCATCTTCTTCATTGTCATAGACGTCGTGGCGCTCGCCTTTTCTCTGGCTTCGGTGGTCATGTTTCTTTCCATCTTGACGTCCCCATTTGAGCTATGGGATTTTCACATGTCTCTGCCACGTAAATTGAGAATAGGGTTTGCTTTTTTGTTTTGCTTGCTGGCCACCACAATACTTGCTTTTAGTGCAATGATTTTGCTCACTACAAAGTTGTAGTGGAAGCACTGGACTTCGACTTCGGTTTATAGTGCAGCGTTCTTTCTTGTGACTATATTTGGCTTGATCGAATTCCCACTTTATGTGATGCTTTCGAGCCTGCTCTTCAGGGTATATAAGAAGACCATGAAGATGATTCCAATTGATAGAGCCATCAAACATTGTTGCTGCAGAAGGGTTCAAAGAGCAACGTATCTATAAGAGAACAGTACTTTGTGCAAATTTCAAATCGAAGGTATGTTGATTTGTTTTTCTGCTATGTGTTTTTTTTTGGGGTGTGAGAGAGAGAGGGAGAGAATGGGAGGAAGCCATGTCGCTGGTGTGTTATATTATTCTTAAATAATACAAGTGAATGCTTTCATTCTCCTACATCTATTCATCTCAAGACATTACTCACTTTCATCTGTTTTAATTTTTTTTCATTTTATACTTGTTTCAAAAATTCAATGTAACATTTATTAATGATTTTTTAATTATTTTTAATCTCATACTAGCCCTTTTTACTAAAAAAACAAATCCCATTATTATGTTATTTATATTTCTTAATATATGTGCGTGTCCTTTTTTTTTAAAGAGGTTTTCCGATAGCAAGGATATCTCCCTGCAATACTAAACGCAATGCATATTAGCGTTGATGAGGCCTCCCAGGAGGAAGAGAGACAAGATAAAGGGGGAGAGGTTTTTTAAAATTAAAATAAAAGAAAACATAAAGAAGTAAGAGGCAATTAAGTTCAAATATATCAAACGTATACACACTCATTGTTCATTTCAAATAGGCCCTTCAAGAGGTCTGGTTGACCACACATGGTGAGCAATCTAGACGGTCTACATTAATATATTTTTATTTTATTTTATTTTTTATTATATAATTATTAAAATAAAAATTATAAAAAATTAACAAATTTATTTTATTATCAAGTAGATGATATAGATTTAATCTTATAGCTCAATTTAATATTAAAAGTTTTTAAAGTTTTTATAAATTAACTATTCATAATTGCTATGAACAGTCAAGTTTTAAAATTTTAACTGCAACTTTTTTCCAATTTTTTTAAGTGGCAGTTTAGATATTATCTTTATTTTTAATATTATCACTAAAATAAAAATTTAAAAAAACATTAATGTTAAATTTAAACTGTTCTATGTACATCTGAACAATAAATTTAAAAAAATTATAAAAATATTATTAAATTGGATAATTATTATATTTTTTGCATCAAAATAAAAATTGAATTGTTTAAATTAAATCTATACTATCCAGATGGCTAAAAAGAAAGATTTATTAAAATTTATATTTTTTATTTTAATAAATATTAAATAAAAATAAAATAAAATGGTTTAGGTTACTTATCATATAAGGAGCGTCGAAACCATTTCCTCATAGAGTCATGTTGATCATCTTACCTAAACCATATACCTGTATTTTTGAGATGGAGATAGTAATATATATTCGAGTCTTAACTTCATATATACCACTCACGAAGTCTCTTTGGAAGAAAAGCAAAGACAGAATATCGATGCAGAGATCGTTTAGTTCTTGGGAGGTGTGACACTCGGGGCAGGTGCTAAATAAAAAAGTTCTGCATATAGAATATATATATATATATATATATATATATAAAATAAAGAATTGAAATGGAAGCAAAGGAAAAAAAATTTATGGACATGGAAGATTACTAAAGAAGAAAATGAAAATCAATATACATATCACTCACCATTGCAAGTGGATTGGTATAAAGTAATTAAGTAACCAACTAATAACTTTTTAGCATAAATGAATAAGCTCCCGATCAAAATATGAATAGTATAATTAGCGCTTTAGTGTTCAACAAAACCGGTTCTTGTTGAATGTTTCTTTCAACTGATGAATACATAAGATAATATTTCTTGTGATTTTTTTCCCCATTCTCCCACTCCCCCTGCGTTATTATATGACAAAAAAAATTATATCCAGTTAGATTTCTTTTGATTATTTCATTCTCCTAATCTCCTTACATGCTATATTTTATATATGTTCATCTCAAATAATAACAACATTACTAACTTTCTTTCATTTTTTTTTTCATTTTACCCCTCTTAAAAAATTTAATGACTCTTGTTTTTTTTATAACATCTAATTACTAGCCCCTTTACCAAATCCAACTCCCATTACTTTGTTAACTATACTCCCTCCATTTTTATATATATAAAAAATTTATATCATGCAATTTAAAAAAAATTAGTTAATCATCATAATTATGTCTAAAAATAAAGAAATTGAACTAAAATACCTTATGTTAATCAACATAAGCATACATTAATTATTTTTTATTAATGTAAATTATGAAGGGTGATTTAGAAAATGTGTAATAAATATTTATTAAAATATGTGATTTTGCTTATAAAAAAAATAGGTAAAAAGTGATAGTTTCTCTTATAAATAGAAGCAGAGAGAGTATTTCTTATTTTGTAAAGCATGTACATGCTTTAATATATCTACATTTTAAGATGGAGTTGTAATGTTAGAAAAGTTAATCCATAAGTCCCTCTAATAGTTTTCATTGATTTTGAATTAAATCCTTGTAGTTTATTTTCTTTTAATCAAACCTTTATAATTTGATTGATAAAAAATATCAGTCTTTGAATATTAAAATTACCAATTAATGGTCAACTTTTCTTAAAAAATACTTTTAAAATTTATATAAAAATTGATTTAATATTTTTAGCCAAAAAAACAAAAGGAAAATTTGACTTAATATAATACTAACATTTTTATTAACTTTTTATGAAAATTCCATATATATATATATATATTTAGTAAACATAATCTAATTATATAATTTTTGACTAATAAAAATCATGAAATAAAAATCATGAGATTTGTTCCTTATAATTACTTATCTTTTGATTTTAACTTTGGGTGGCACTGATGATTAACGAGGCCTCTAGCCTCTAGGCAAAAAATGCTGTGAATATAGTTGAGAATACAGGTGGGCCCAGCCTTTAAGGGCCTGAGTCCTAAAGCTCAATTTTTCATTTTGAACCTCATTTCTTAAGCTCGGCCCTTATGTGAAGGGTTCAGGGTCAGACCCACAAGTCTCTTTTTAAAAAATAAAAGAATTAAAATAAAATTAAACATTATAGATTAATTAAAATATTCTAAAATTAAAAAATTAAAATCCTCATAATTTTTTAGAAATTAATCAACACACATTTAGAAGTCTAGTAATAAAATTTAAATCTTGGTTAAAAAAAATTTCATTTTTTATAAATACACAAACATAATAATTATAAAAAAATAAAAAATATCAAAAATTTTATACTATGCATTGATATTTATTAAATTAATTTTAGAATAAATTAAAATTAATAATAATATAATGCGTGTAGGATCAGGTGAGCAAGTCATTAGCTTCAAATATATGTTCTACCAATAATAATAATAATAATAATAATAATAATAATAATAATAATAATAATAATAATAATAATAATAATAATAATAATAGGACTTAAAGGGCTGCCTGAACCCGAGCCCTTTTTTATAGTGCTTATCAGGGTCAAGCCCGATTATTTAAAAAAAATTCATTTTTAAAATTCAAACCCTTATTTAAACAGGACCTCCAAGCTCGATCTTCCAGGCCTGACTCTTATTTCCGGCTCTAGTTGTGAAGTGGAAGGCTTTTTTGTTTTATAACAATGAAGTTAGAAAAGTTTAAGCAAATATACACGATCGGCCTGAAAAACAGATGCATACGCAATGCGATCACTATTAAATGTTTAATCTCGAATAGGCCCTGAGAGATAGATTAGTGGCATTAGTCGAACTATATGGGTCGCCTAAAGCCCAAATTTTAGTTCCTCAGCACAGATGACTAAGCACATTTACATCTCAGCTAAAAAAATTGAATTGCTCAATATTACCTAGGCCCAAAAAATGAAACAGACAAAACACATTACCTTTCAAGGTTCTTTTAACATTGTTTTTTTTAAGGTACTGCCTCTTAAGGGTTAATAAATTAATTAAATAACTGATAATTGATTTCATTTGATTAACTTAATCGTGACCTTGGATGTTGGCAAGCCCTTCAGCTTGCATCTGGGAATAAACCTTTCATTTCCTTGTTGGTAATGGAAATTTTTTTTAATGTTAACACTGATTATATGGCAACATTCATTATGTTCACACCTTAATTCTAACAAGCATTGATACTTATGCATTATGTGGTGCTAACCAGAGGGCAGTGTCTTCAATTTTTAACTTTTTTGCTTTTTGTAGGCAAAGAATATATATATATATATATATATATTAATGCAACATCACTTTAGAATATATTAGAGAACATATGCTAACTCTTTTTTTTTCAAGAGGACATATGCTCTTTAAAAAAAAATACTAAAGGGTGGACACACTCCAATATAAGACTCTTTTATGATTCTCAAAGGGTTTCAGCCCCTAAAGTTCTAACTCGAGGAGTAATAGAGAGAGAGAGAGAGAACAAAATGTTAGAAAAGAGTAGTGAAAAAGAGATAGAGGGTGGGAGCATGTTCAGCAAGACAATGAGAAAAGCTCAAAATACATCTGGCCATAGATTGGGAAGCCTTCAGAAAAATCTTCAAGCAAGACCCGAGAGAACTACTTAAGGATTTTGACTTGTTCGAGAATACTGCTGTCAGTGTCGCAATTCATAGCGCTAATCCTAATCTCTTGACGACTTTGCTTGAAATGCTCTCTGAAGAAGAAAGATGGCTTGCCCTCTCCAAGCCCAACTGTCGAGCCAACACTATTCTTCACAGTATCGCCTTACAAAGAAGATTGTCTATACAAATGATATATGTTATACTTGAGTTCGAAGACAAGTCACTAGCGATGAAGAAGGAAAACACAAAGCCTATATTACTGGAAAGGAAAAAAAAAGAGGCGAGACGCCATTGGTCAGGGCTATTGTGTATGGTAACCTCAAGATGCTTAAGCATTTATTCAACAAACATGTTGCAGAAGAGGCTCAGCCTCATCAGGATGACATCTTTCAAATTCATTAGTACAGTAATATCGAGACCGTTCTTCATGCTTGTGTTAATGCCCAACATTTTGGTATGTATCTGTGTCATCACTACTATTATAATTTTTGTTTGTACTTTAATTAAGATATATAGTACGTACTTGTGCTTCAACTATATTGAGGATATGTGATTGTATTCAAATGTAGGTCTTTGGATAATTAGGAGAATGAATGGGATAAAGCGAGCTCAGGAGCATAATGAAAGGAACCTCACATGTCTTTAGCTTCTCGCCAACTTGCCTG